AAAAAAAACGTGTCACAGGATATGCCATGTAGGATGAGGGCGCTGCAAGCGGCTGCTGGAGGTCATACCCGCAATTACTGACTTTTCATGATTTACTGTAGTGAGTTCTTTGACTGTGTAACATATCACTGTCCGGAGGCTATCATTTTCTTTAATACCTTAGCTTAAAGTTAATACTGACATCAAACTGTTGATATGGTTTTCTGGGGGTGTTCCTTTCTTTTGAATGGCATCTTATGTCAGATTTGATATTATTGACCAAAATATCTCACAACAGAAGACTGGATGTTTGTATCACTCAGTGACATACTTTTTTTTTTATGAATCCAGCCAAAAAAATTTAATCAGCACTCAAAAATAACAATGATAAAAAATATTCCATATTAAATAGCAACCCTGTAGATATAGATAATATAGATAAATATATAGATAAAGCATAGATTACACCGGGCTAGTAACTAGAGATAATGCTGTCATATTTATTGTTCTTTACCACTGATGTATAAATTTGATGTTGACTATCAAATTTTGTTGAAGGGGATAAGAGAGGGAAAAAGTCGGTCTCAGATCGGTCGTAGGCCCAGTGTAACAGGGAGTAAACATCTTTACATTCAAATGAAAACAGCAATTGAAACCGTGCGTTTGATACCAAGATTATTTTGCCGAGATGCTATTTTATGTAGCTATTGCGCCAGTATGGTTTTTGTTGTATTAAATGCTAAAAAAATGCAACAATACCGACGGAATTTTCATCGCCTGTGTTGTCAGCGGTGTTAGAATATTTGTTAGTGGGCCCATAGACTGCAGCATAACGTTGAGCTGCCTGGGCAAGGCGTGAAATTTGTCATAACATATCGCAACTGCATGTAACCTACCTACATGTACCCAGTAGCCATAGACTGGGTTTCCATACCTAGATCAATCTAACAGGATCGGTCTATCTCCAAGGGGTTTCTCGCTAAATTGCTTTCAGCTTAAACGGCTTAGATGTCTGGCACGCCTACTGAAGCTGTTTAACGATAATTAATTACCCCCTAGCAGCTTCAGTAGGCGTGACAGACATCTAAACCGCTTAAGTTGATTGCAGTTTAGCTAGAAACCCTTGGAGATAGATCGATCCACAGTTAATACGATAGGGTTTGAGAATGGTCCCTATGCACATATATGGGGCACACCTATTGTACATTTCAAAGTGTCTGTGCTGATTCACATGGCCTATATCAACCTTTGCCAAGTCTGGGAATCTACACATGACAAATAATGACTATTATACTAGCATTGTGAGTACTGTACCGTAGTCAGGGTCGTCAGCTCCTAATTTTTCCTAAGCTCGCCCCGAATGAGTACCACGGGCGGCACGCTCGGCTCTCACTATACAATGAACTAAACAACCAGAGAAAAAGACTTCAGACTATACCTTCCTATTCTATCATGCTTTTAACTGTTGCACCCGCACAGTAGTTTTTGTCGGTCTACTATCCTGGTTATATTCACTATGTGTTCATATATAAGGCCACCTTGATTTAATTTTAAAACTGATATCCGCGCACGCATTAATGTTCGCCTGTTCTCAAAAATGACAAAATTATCGCTGTCCGCGTTTTTGTCCATTTAAAATAACTTGAAGGTCTGGGCTGTGGAAAAAATTTCTAATTTTAAATTTCTAATCACGGGGAGCGTGATTATAGATTGATATGCAATCGGTGTTGAGGGGTCGGGATATCTCCAAACTGTACAAAGGGACTGATGGCGGCGAGCGACTATCGTCTAAACTACTACAAAATCGTCCTATCCGGAGCGACTCACACCGTTTTAATTATTATTATTATTTATTTATTTATTTATTTATTTATTTATTATTTTATTTATTCATTTTTTTTATTTATTTATTTATTATTTTTTTTTATTATTTTTTTTTTTTTATTTTGCAACGACGAAAGATCAGCGAGGAGAGGTGAGGTAGCCTTAAAGTGGGTTATACACTCGCCAGTTCGGTTGCTTTGTCCGGATTGAAGAGGACAATACGGCTACAATTCCTAGGTTAGATACAAAAAGTACCTGACTGCTGACTCTTAAGCATTTCACGTAGTTGAATTTGCATTTCTAGTTGTATTCCTTTTCTTTAGCAGCACTTTTGCCAGAGTTTTTTTATATAATTTTTTTCGCCCTCTCGCATATGTTTCTAGGTCTCCAAATGTTGGCATCCGTAGAATTAACTCAGTGCGGCCTAATGGATAACACGCGTTTCATGGTTTATTAAAGCGTAGCTAGTGGGAATCATTCTGCATAGTCTGTGAAAAAAATTGCCTGAAATAAAAGCATATAATCCAGAAGTTTACTTTCGTTTATATGCACTACATCCCTTGAAATCGGATTTAAAGATAAAATTCTTGCACCGCTTTAATTTGTTTGGCAAATATACTAAATGAGGTCAATAATACTATAAGATATACAGGTCACAGAGATGAAATTTTCACGTTTGTCTAGTGCCAAAGTGCCTAATTTTTTTTTCTTTATGTGGGGCGGGGGGGGGGG